GAGAATCTGAAATGTTGCCCTTTTCTGGCCAAGAAGCACAGAAGAAACTCTTTGTTTGCTTCAGTTGAGCTTAAATTGACCCAGCTGGCATCAACATTGAATCTTAATGTGTTATGCTGTAATGATTACCATGCCAAAATTGGTCTTCCTGCAATATTGCATCCAGTTGTGGTTACTATATTATAGGAAGGACATTAGCAAACTGGAGCGCATTAAAAATATAACAACCAAGATAATAAGGGGTATCTAAGGGTGTATGCATATGTATATGTATATGTATATGTATATGTATATGTATATGTATATGTGTGTGTGTGTGTGTGTGTATATCTGTGTGTATGTGTAACAGTTGGAAGTGTTGGGGATGTTTAGCCTGGAGAAGAGAAGACTGTGAGTAGCTACAATGGCTGTTATGTAGAAAACAGGGCATAATTGTCCAATGTTATTCCAGAAGACAGATCAAGAAACAATGGGTTCAAATAACAAGGAAGTACATTTCAGCTGGCCATAAGGAAATGAAAGACAGGTTGTCATGCATGTCACAGCTCCCATAAAACTAAGGAAAGTCCAAGATCCCACAACTAACTCATAACAATTTGCTCTAGGGAGGAACAATTGAATGAAGCCAATACAGAACACTCAAAATAGCTTGGCTGGTTACCTGCAGAACTTTTCTGTTTGGCAAAGATTGAACTCCCCCTTCAGTGGATCACCAAATTACAGTCTCACGTCGACATTCAGGGAAATGTTATTTATTTGGCTTCGTTCTCAGCATTGAAGATCTAACTTTAATTCCTTAATAGACCATCAGTGAACTCTTAGGATTGAAAAGTGATGACTGAAAATGTCTGCTCATAACCCATTAAAATGTTGGAGACACCAATCTAGGAAACTGCTAAGTTACATTCTCCATGCACTTCACGCTGTAGGGGTGATCTCTAATAAGGCATGCAGAACCACTGACTAATTTGATTGTACTTAATGCTGGATTTTTCCAAGTTGTGTGTAAGCTCTTAATGACTAGACTTTTAGCTATCATCTTCTGAAGCAGCAGTATAGCATCTACAGCAGAATTAACTCACAGAACTCAAGACATTGGACGTTTGTAATGAGCTGGGAGAAGTTCAGGAGGAAAAACAGCAATTCCTACCCACTTAAAACATACCATAGGTGGGATTAACAATGTAGGTTTATGCTAGTCTAGAAGCTTTTCTGGAGAGGATGGGACACATTTTAGGAAAATGTGTGTATGCTTGGGGAAAACCAATGTGCCTCAAATCCTTCAATCCAGAAGACAAGAAAAAACATTAATTTGCCCTCCCACGAAGAGGCAGAAAATGTACCAGCAGAAAATTGGAACCAGATGGAAAATTTAAAGCCTTCTGAAGGACGGCTCCTATGCGGAGGAAGAAAATTAAATTTGCTCAGGTCTCAGAGAGGTTGTACTTGATAGACATTGCAAGTGGGCCAGATAAGGTCATGGAAACTCAAGAAATATTGGATGCAGGGAGCAATAAAGAGAAGCAATGGTTTCTAGCTAATCCTTCCATTTCTTTCTCTTTTCCATCAAAAGCTGGTAGCTCCTTTGTCTGGGGAATGGAAAAGGCACTAGAGATTCATCTTTTCAGAGCAAAAGTGTAAGACAGATTCCCACTCAGCTGAAGGCCATAGAAGGTTTTGCCTGATCAGTTTAAAAATAGAAAGGGCCCTTCAAAACTCTGCTGTTATTTCTTTAGAACTTCCTTTGTGTGCTCGCTTACTCTTTTATTGGTGGCTGTTGGTTCTGCTGCATCGTGGCAGAAGGTGATGTTGGTTTGGCTCCATTTGCTTTAGTTTGCTACTTGGACCTCCAGCCCTTTGCACCCTTTCTGACTCCTGCAGTTTCTCATTCTGAAAAAGCCTCCTAGGAAGTGTTCTCCCCAGATGTTTTTCCTAGGGATTCTCCAGAGAAACCAAGGAGGGTGTGTCTATGCGCAGATCCCTGGGGAGATGCTTGGACAATAACAAGCAGGACATTTGCAGTCTTCTGGTGCTGTGAATGTGATAGGGATCTTTGCAGTAAACTTATCAAGCCCAAGTAGCAATTTTTTCAGGTCATCCTGATGAATGTCTGCTCTCTTTCCTTCAATGTTGGGGGCCTGCTAAGGGAACAAAATTTCACATAGCACAGTCTGGTGACAAGGAGTCACCAACAAAACAGCTCTTTGAACCCCTGTAGCAAGGAATCTCCCACTGTGTCTATGTTAATATCTGATTTATTATGTACTGTTTATTTTCTGGAGATTTTAATGCTTGTAGGTTCTTTTAAGCTGCAGGCCATACATTCAAAGTGACAAGCCACAACCATTAACTAAGAGATGTTGAGTTAGCCTGACTTCTTTTTCCCGAAATGGTCTTCTTTGAGGAAAAAACAACAGGGTATCTATCATCAAACCTATTGTTGTTGCTGAATAATTTTTTTCAGCAGATTGAGAATAAATAGTCAACCGTCTCATCACGGTTGTACCTAATTAGTAGTTGGTGGGGTTCTAGAGCTATAGAAGCATCCCTGTGATGACATCAGAATGACAACAGAAATTTGGAAGCAACTATGCAAGTCATGTCATTTCGGACACGATGCCCTGACTCATCATTCACTTGCCTCTCGCTTTGTTTCTCCCTCTGCAGACTTGAGAGGATCTATTGCAATTCATCCATGGCTAAATCACAATGCTTTTTATTGCCTTCTCCCTAGGATGATTCAGAAATCTGAATTTCCTCCAGATTTGAAGTGGTGAATCTCCCTCAGTCTGAGAAGAGGAGGAGAAGATCATCTTTCAAAAAGGTCATGTGTGGCTCAGCCTGGAGGCAAGGCAGCCTCTTGCTGTCTACTCTTCATCTTTGAAAATATTTGCCTCCAGGGTACAGCAAACCAGGTTGTTTCATTTCAGCCTTCCATTCTCATTTGAAAGGCCAGGTGGAGGTGGGTAGCAACATCTTGCAGGAGAGATGGAAATTTGGGGCTACAGCATAATTTTTATTTGGCATTGAACAGGGTGGCGAATGTATTATCGTTAGTGGTAGTAGTAATAGCAATACTAGTACAGGTAGTCCTCATTTAGTGACTGCCTCGGTTTCTTGTTCAGTGACTGTTCACAGTTACGATGGTGATGAAAAGTAACTTTACGACCAATCCTCGCATTTACGACCTTTGCAGGTCTGTAAAGCAACAGAAGGCTGAAGTAAAAACATAAACACAGTTGTGGTTTTCCTTAGTGACCGCTTCACTTCATGACCAAATTGCCGGTCCCAATTGTGGTCGCTAAACAAGGACTACCTGTACTACTACCGCTAGTCTTACTGTTTTATTACTTTCTGGCTCCTTGACTTTCTCAGCAGTTCAGTTGTGAAAGCATTTCCATAGTCCTTAATTGGAGTATTTCTGTTTAGGCCACAAATGTGAGGATTCATGGTGGGAGATTTTGGGTAGCAGAGACAAGTTCCTTTTCTCCCTTTTATTGGAATCCAAACAATCCAATTCTCAAAGGATTTAAATCTGCGTAGAGTACTGGGTCATGCTCGGCATAGAAAGGTCCTCATTCTCCTTTTAATTGGAATGTTTCATGGGTCAGCTGGTCAATCCTTGGGCCAATCAGTATCGGCTAACTATGGTACTTTAAGGAGCTATAATTTGGAGAGCTCATAAATAAAATGGCAGGACAGAAATAGCATAAATAAATGCACGAGTCCAAATTTGCTAAGCCATGCAAATAAAGGATGTTATTGTGTTGCAAATCTGCCGAAGGTTCAACCCTTGAGCCCTTTTAAAATGCCAAGGTGGAAAAGAGAAAGTTATTTTCAAATGTCACGATTAAAATATCAGCACACAGTTTAAACCACAGAATTTGATGTCATCAGATGTGGGGACGATGACCCCATTGATACGGTTTTTAAAAGGAACAAAATAAATTATGGATCAGAGGCCTATCAATATTTACTGGTCTACACGGTAGTATTCCTTAACACAACAAACGAAATATTTTTGGAGCAACAGTAGAAGAGGACAAATCACCTCCCTGTCAATATTTCTTGGAAACACCTGATCAGCCACTGTGTGACACAGAGTTCAGGACAAGCCCTTGGCCCTTTCTGGCTGAGGACTCTTCTTTGAATTGTCGTTAAGTCAGACAGATGTAGGTTATATATGGACAATTGAAATGAAATACGGTCATGCTTTACTGAAACAGTTGTGTAAAACCAACATGCATATATACATGTATGAGAAACCCTTATTATATAATTTAAGTTGTATTGTTTAATTTTTTTTTCTTTGTTCTCTTTTATTCAAGAAAGAAAGAAGTTGGGGGGGGGGGGACCTCTATGTAGAGTTTTCCAAAAATTCAATTTGATAGATCAAATTTCTGAGGAATCAAAAAAAGTTAATCTTAATA